TTATTTTGTTTATTAAGATTTTTTTATTAAGATTTTTTTATTTTTTTTGTTCCGCAGTGTTATTGGTACCGTTGGATAGAGCTCGTGAAGCACTTTCAGGATCAGTAACCAGTTTTTGAATATCTTGTATAGTTTTTAATATTATGTGGTTTTACTAAATGTATGGAAGCCTGAAAAATTTAATTTTCGGATAGATCCAGTTTATTCTGTAACCTATTATTGGTACCGTTTAAAAGAGCTTGTGAAGCACTTTCAGAATCAGTAATCAGTTTTTCGATATCTTGTATAGTTTAGAAATAATCGAGTGAGATCACTTAACGTTTCCACCCTGTATAATGTAAGGACGTAAAATCGTCATGGCAAGAAAATTAGCAACTATGACAATATGTAACAAAGTACTAACTGTATACACTTTTCTTGAAGTTAAGTAATGTCCCTATTACTTTAAGAGTAGGCGCACATCGTTGATTTTTCGTCGGCCCATAGTTTAGTCGGGCTGTTGATCAGTATTGGCATGTATGGGAATGCGCACACTACGGCGATTCGATTTGGCCGATTTTTCATACAATTTAAAATCGGGTACAACTATCGGCCAACTAAAAATCAACGGTGTGCGCCTACTCTAAGGCACCATCTTACGCACGAACACGATATTACAAGCTGACATTGAATTTGCTGAACACGTCTATCGGAATTTTCCCTACAATGTAACTTTATGCAAGACAGTTTTTGTTTAAAGCCCAATTGTAATCTGATTAGAATTACATAGATTACGATGCAACGAGTTACCTTGGCGTCGGGCGCGGGCACGAACACGGGCTCGCTGGGGTAGCAGTCGGCGCTGCTCCACGTCAGCGTGGCGCCCGTCCACGTGTCCACCTTGATCACCTGTGGATAACACACGTCATGACTTAGAGCTGGCGAAGGATTGAGCACTCATGTCCTTCACTAAGTATCCCTAATTCCCTACCAGTAGGGATAATGTGTCGGTAGGGATATGTGGAATAGGGGATTTAAGAGAAGCAAGCTGTTGAGCTTACTCGTTTGAATTTGATCTTGAGTAGACCAGAAATGAACGATCAAGGGAGAATAAATTATAGCTTTTAGACAGTAATGATTGCAGTGATGAGTGATCAACTTACCGCACCAGGATTTTCCGCATCAACATCTGAACTGATGGCATAAAAATAGCGATACGGACGACCTGTGGAAAAATAACAGTATTTTTCAATTGTCATTGTAATACTCGTACAATGGGATCCAGAAACATACAGATCGTTATGAACCAACCAAGAAAAAACTACGAAGTGAGTACCTACCTATATGAACTACCTACACAATTTATCTTCTGTGTGTAGATACCCAAAGGAAGCAAGGAAGGACAAGATTCTGGCAGTGAGAGTTCCACTTCCACTGGATGCCTAGTTGAGGAGAATGAAGATGAGAATGAGAAGAGAAATATGGGTTTATGGGTAGTGTAATACCGTTGAAGGCGTCGTAGTGTATGCGTTAGTGTAATACCGTTGAAGGCGTCGTAGTGTATGCGTTAGTGTAATACCGTTGAAGGCGTCGTAGTGTATGCGCGGCGTCTCGCAGCCGAGCGCGGCCAGCGGGCGGGCGGCCACCCGCGCCGGCGTCGTCGCGTCCAGAGGCAGCTCCAGCCGCTGGGGCCGCCCGCGGAACCACTCCGCGTACTCCGCGTTGCTCTGCATGTTCTGACGAACAATTGTTGATACACGTTTGTTAGAGCTACAATAGATAATGCTATTTTTAGCATCAGCGATTTAGCCGCTTTTTTTTTTCGCCGAATGCAGCGACCGCTCACCGTACATTCCACATCGCATACTTAACAACGGCTAACTGTGTGACAGAATAGCTATTCGGAAGCTCGACGCAGCGATAGCTAAATTTTAACAGAATTTAAAAAAAGTGTACTAGGTAATGTTGATTAACTTTATAAAATGACTGATGTGATGAAAACTGGCCAAGTAAAATTTAACCTACCTACTTTAAGATCTCACATTTTTACAGCAGCTATCCAATAAAGCAAAGAAATAGAGTTTAACACTGATTGTTCATAATGTTATTTTGTTCCTATAAATATCTACATATTTGGATTTTGTATAAAACTTGGCACTTATTTATCGCCATTCTTTTTGCGGCGAAGCCCACAGCCAAGCATAATTTTTGTATTGAACTTGGCTCTCCTTTTTTACATTTTATGTTTTTTGTGGGTAGTTTGTACATGATCAGCCCCGCTCAGCATTTATCGTGACATGCTCGAAAGGGCATACCACGAAGCTGGTCTTCCGCGGACGCCCTAGTGGGTAGGTGGGTTGTGCTCACCTCGACGGCCTGGACGTACATGGCGTCGATGGCCTTGGCGTCCTTGTAGGCGCAGAGGTCCAGCACGAGCGTGCCGTCGCGCTCGAAGGCGTTGATGATGTGCAGGAAGAACAGCGGCTCCGTGCAGTAGCGCCGCTCCTCCTTGCCCGTGCTGCGGCTGATCAGCACGATGCGCGTCTGAAAGCACCAGCGAAANAGCACGATGTGCGTCTGAAAGCACCAGCAAAATTACTCCATAATTTGCAAAGGAACAAGATCAGAATCTTACGGGCCAAAGACAACTCACTAGAGTACGTTAAACAGTCAACTGTCAAGATGCTTCCATCGTCGTAACCTGGAGCCGAAGCCGAACCGCTAAAACAAGGCTGCTCAACCTTTTGAAGAGTCCGACTCTTCAATTCATCCAATTCGGTAGATTCATTCGTTAACGACGGGCCACTTGCATTCCTTATTTCAGTTACTCTCAGGACAAGCGCAATAAAAACTCAATTATTAAGATCAAACCATACTTGCGCGGGCCACACTATGGGCGACGGGCCTGTGGTTGAGCAGCCTTGCTCTAAAAAGATGGAATTGATTGGCATTGAACTGAAAATCTAATTGAGACATCCTCGTTCATCCGAGTCTCCAAGCACTGGACAACAAGAAGATCAGACGGTCCAAGCGAGGCTTAGACTGGGGCCTGGTCGGGGGTACTCACGTCCTGGTCGGGGTACCAGTGGAGGCTGTCGGCGTGCGGCGCGCCGGCCACCTGGGAGCGCAGCTCGCCGTACAGCGACACCGCCAGCGGCTGCTCCACGATCACGAAGTAGTTCGCCGTGATGCCTGCCGCACAACGTGAGGGAATCTATAGAGACATTGGCGTATCTAGGGTTCTTTTTCTAGGCCCCTAGGGGGAGGGAGGGGGGGGGGGGAGGGCACCGCAGCCCAGCCCAGCTATACAGTTAGAGTTACGGTGCTTTTACAAGACAATAATTTCAATTTATGACAATAATTATTATAGCTAAGGCTATGCTAGGCGAGCATCAAATTCTCTATTGGATGGGATTTTTTGTTGATTTTCTTTACTTTCCAATTGAAAATAATAATATAATAGATTGTTTAAGTACTTACATAGAAAGATTAAACAAATGCAATTTATAATTTTAGTAAGGAGAAAAACATTGACAATTTCAATAAAATTATTGTATGAGAGGGTCAAACGAGATTTCAATTGGTTGATTGTGCGTGTCATATCAGCGCTCGTTTAGAAGCAATTTAGAGTAACTAGTGTTATTGGTGCGTGCTCACCGAAGGTGTGCATGTAGGCGGGATGCAGCGGCCAGCGCGGGCGCAGGCTGCCCACCACGCGCGCGCGCGCGAACATGTCGCCTGCGGACACACCACACGCAGCTAATGATAATGTTTTCTTTAAAATACAAAATTGGGTAAAACAGGCAATACTGTACAGCATTCACAAACATTACGATGAGATCTTACAGTGCGCGTGTCCGCACAGGGTGTTACGCACCAATCACAGGGCTCTATTCAACACTGTATGCGTTCGATTTGCTGCTTCACATAAGCAAGCATCGTTTGTGAATATGGGTGTCAGTCACCTTATTGAACAATATTTACCTACCATTCATTTTCTGAAAAAAAAAACTATCTATTAAATTACCTAAGCTGCACGTGTAACCGTAATTAACATTATAAATAATAATAATTATGAAATAATCTGCAAGAACTACATTTTACGTATTATGAGTTAGATTTTTATATTATACCTATTATTATTATATTATACCTATAATATATAAAATGTTTTAATTGAATTGTTACTGTTGATGAGCACCTTCATGCTGTATAACGTAGAGCTGGCTAGCTGGAACCGCTATGATAGAACTGTCATTTATATTCAAATATGATGTTGTCTTTAGCTGTGTAATGGCTGTGCCGAACTCTCTATTGTAAATATTCTACGTGTGCTTTGATACCAATATATTTATTATGTTACTACCGACCACTGTGTTTATTGCTCTGTAGCGGACTTGATATATCCCTAACAGTTACCTACCCTTCTCCGTGAAAGGGAACTCGACCACGACGTGCTGGACGCGGCCCTTCACCAGCGACATGCCCAAGTTGTACACGTCGCCTTGAAACAATATACGACGCGTTACAGGAAACCTGAGACCACAAGACACATTTCTAAATAATAAATAAATGTTGATGTAAGATTCGATGGGACTGACATGTTTTCGAACAAAAGTCCCTCCCTAAATAAAAACAGATTAAAAAAAAAAGATCTTGCAGTTGGATCCGAAAGAGATAGGACGATGTTGTAATGTGCAGTGAATCGAAAAGGCCTTACCGTTGGGCATAACGTGCGGGTGGGCGGTGTGGCATACAAACGCTAAGGAGTCCATCATGTTTTTGCGCTCCATCGTGTCCAGGGTCACTGGGTCTATCCTGCAAATCAATTTTTATGGTAAACTAATATCTGCTTTTTTGTCCTATTGCAGGGCGTACCCACCGACCACCTGTATGCAGAGCCAATGGTGCGGATTGCTGCAGGCTGAGGAGTAACAGGTCAGTGACACCATATTATTAAAATGTGTTTCTTGATTCATACTAGACGATAAACATATATTATTTCCTCTTTTGTTTGTTCTTGAGACAATTAAAAGAACCATTTTTTATTTTTTTTATAACTGTACCGATTGATAATCATATAAATATGTTCGATAATATGCAACTAACCTGTGAATGGCCGGTGCCTCCGTGAAAGCATATATCTCGTCGCCGAAGGGGTACAGCGATATCAGAGCGTTGTCGGTGATCGTCTCGTCCGGCTTGAACACCGATGCGATTCTACAAGTTTATGACAACAAACTAACACTTCATTCAAAAAATATCTCCAAAACTACCGAAGTTATTGCTTTTGAAAGGAATCGATTCCGAAAAAATTCTGTTCGAAACTGAAAAACCAATAAAAAAGTATTAGGTAGATCAAAATAATGCAAAATAACTCTAAAAGACTTGAGCAACTTATCAAGGAGGACTGAAAATAAGACTTTTACATTAATGTATTGACTTGTCGAAAAATACCTACAAATGTAACAGTGTGTAACCAAATGAGCGACAGCGGAGGCACTCCCTTAAACTAAATTAAATTGTGTATGGGACCAAATGGCAAGTATCTACAATCGAACAAAAAATAATCACTCAATTCGGACGGGAAATCTGTAAGTAGTCGGTGAACGTCGATTACATAAATATACCTAGACGACGTAATTGTCTCCAAAAAGTGTTCACGCGAGCATGCTAAAAACTAAAAATGCTCATAAAATAAAAACTACTCAACCAAATCAAATATTTTTTTATGGGACCAAATGGCAACTATTCCGCATCGATAAGAATCACGTAAATCGGCTCAGAAATCTTGGCGTAATCGGTGTACATACATAGAAAAAAAAAGATACCAACCGAATTGTGAACCTCCTCCTTTTGTTGAAGTCGGTTAAACAGGTTTATTCAAACCAGAATGTCTAACAAGAGGTTATAAATATTAGAAGGTACCCGAAGCATACGATAAACCTACGGTTTTAACTAACTTTTAAACGGCTACCTAAGTAAACTCCGACAAACGTTACTTCAACATTACGTTACTCCGACACTAAGGCAACAGAAGGTGCCAACTTGCATCTTTAGAGGTGCGAGATGACGAATAACCATAGGTACTTAGCCCTTTAATTTACAAGACAATGATGTTGTGCACTCGTTTCTTCTATTTAGAAACAACCTTTAATATGTGTCCTGAATAGAATTTGCATTAGTAAATCTTCTAAATTAAGTGACCGCAAACTGTGTTATCATTCTTAAATAGTAAAAATTAGAGTGCCCTAGGTTTTTTATGTATTGAAGCCCTTACTTTCCAAGCCAAAGGGTTTCTATGTTTACCTGTCGAATATGGTATGGCAGGGGTCGGGGACGGCCTTGGTGCCGAACTCACGGACCACGATGCGCTGCGCCGCCTGGTTGCGCTTGTATGTGCTGGACTGCAGGAAGCGGCACTGGTACGTCACGCTTCCCTCATGGATCGCGAACCTACGATGCAAAAAGAGAGCTCTTTATGAATCCAAAAATAAAAATAAATGATTCTGAATGACATTTTAATCTTGTTTCTGATATGAATCACGCGACCCCAATACTGATATCATACGCAGAGTCGCCAAAACGTAATTCAGCATCGAAAATCGCCGATCGCTGCTGCTATAAATGTCTGCTGAAGGCCTAATCGATATGATTCGAGACNACATGGATTAAATGATTCTGAATGCCATTTTAATCCTGTTTCTGATATGAATCACGCGACTCCGATACTGAT